CATACGGTATTTGTCTTTTTCTTTCTGACTTACTTCACTCTGTATGACAGACTCTAGGTCTATCCACCTCATTACAAATAGCTCAATTTCGTTTCTTTTTATTGTGCCACATCTTCTTGTAAGGCTTCTTTTACCATTTAAATGAATGCTTCCAAATTCTGCACGCTTACAACTCAGATTCAGAAGTCCCCAAGTGAATCTATACACAGCTGGTCTTAGGAACCAGTACTGAATTATAAGTTGTTTTGCCTGGGTGTGGGAATGGCTGTGTTTCCCAATCATAGTTTTCTACTCTCTGTTACAAAAATGTTCCATTTTATTTTAGGAAAATGAAGTATCCACATGATGGCACTATAACCTACAAAATAAGAGGCTGTCAATTTATGAAGAGCAAGAACTTGGTAAATTCTAGTTAAAGTACTTATTATTGATGGAGCATGCACAAAAATAAGGTATTTTAAATACAAAATAATATGGATATCATTTCCCTTGTGTTTTAGAGACACACTGGCTAATCTTTCACTTCAAGTGCTTTTTTAACATTTTTTCCTGTTCATTGGATAACAGGATCTTAGTCCTCATCTTTTTAGAAAACAGTTATTAACCATCGCTAGCACATGGCCCTCAACTGCATAAGTAGAAGAAAAGCAAACAAACAGGTATTTCAGAGCCTAATATGCAACTGTGTTGGAAGTTACTTAATGCATCACCCATAATATCATTTCTTCCTGTTTTTGAGTCTGAGGAATAATTCAGAAGTTATTAGGGAAACAGTGTTGAATAAGACATATGTCATCATGGAGTTTATATTCTGGCAGGGGAGATAGGCTTTAAATACACGTTGACATAATTACTTAATTAAAATTATAAGTGCTACCAAAGAGAAGTCTAAGTAAAATGAAAGCATATAAATGGTTAAAGGGGCTGAATCCAGTGTGCCAAGTAAAGGGAAGCTTCACTGAAGGAGATACAATGAGCTAAGCCCTGAAGGATGAATAGAAATTAACTAGGCAAAAGAAAGGGAAAACCATTACAGTCAGAGGGAACGGCACGGGCATGTGCCAAGGGCCTGCAGTGGCTCGTCCAGGAACTGAGAGCATGAAAAATCCATCCTATCTTGATTTTCACGCGTCAAGAGTTAGTTCAGGACATTTTATTACCAATTCATTAATCTCTGAATTTGAACATTATATCGAATTTATAGATGGACTATATTCTAAAAGTTTGATGAAAAATTAACTGTTTAGAAGGAAAAATATTTTTCCATGACAAAAATAGTAGAAATAATAGTACCATGAAGCCTATTTAAGCCATAATGTAATCACTGTTGACTGTTCTCCTTGAATGAAGTCTGTCTCCATAGTTTTTTTTTTTTTAATTGACCTTTTACAAAATAACTATCCTATTCCCTTCAAAATATCAAGGTTAAGAAAGAAAAGGTTGGGGACTTCCCTGGTGGCACAGTGGTTAAGAATCAGCCTGCCAATGCAGGGGACATGGGTTTGAGCCCTGGTCCGGGAAGATCCCACATGCTGTGGAGCAACTAAGCCCGTGGGCCACAACTACTGAGCCTGCGCTCTAGAGCAAGTAAGCCACAATACTGAGCCCACACGCCTAGAGCCTGTGCTCTCCAACGAGAAGCCACCGCAGTAAGAAGCCCGCGCACCGCGACGAAGAGTAGCACCCACTAGCCACAACTAGAGAAAGCCCGTGCGCAGCAATGAAGACCCAACACAGCCAAAAATAAATAAATAAAATTAATTTTAAAAAAAGAAAGAAAAGGTTGAGGAACAGCTCCAGAATAAGGAGACATAAACAGAGAAGTGCAATGCATGAATCCATATGGGATCATGGATGGGAGAAGACTGCTATTGACACTAATGTTGGGAAAATTGATAAGATTTGAATATGAGCTGCAGATCAAGACTGGGATACTGTGATAGGAGCGAGCCACCCATCTTGGGCACAGAATTTATGATGGCACAAAAAACTCAGTAATCAAAATAAATAACATTTGAATATAATATTTAAAAAATAAAATTTAATGCAAAAATCAAGATGAACAAAGTATCAAAAATATTTGAAAGTAGATTTTCATTATATATTTATTATTTTAAAAATGAGACAGGATAGTCTAATGGCTATAAATAATCTCATAGTTTTAAAGAATTCAGTGGCCTGAGTTTGTATTATAATATTCATCCTTTAACAGTCGTTCTAAATATTCTGCTGAGTTCAGAGCACATTAGCTTTGGAAGTTTAAGTTTACCAAACTCAAAAAACAAAGTACACACACCCACACATAAAAGGATATTTTCTCTGTTGGACCCTAGAACCGTTAACTTTCTAGTAGAGTGAAACATTTCTTGCCAAACAGCAAATTAGAGAATCATAAGTCAAGTACCTATTACATGGACTTGTTTTACCATTCTCAAATATTTAAATTGGCACACTGTATTTGTCATTCTTAAAGCCTAAAGCTTGAATAGAAAGGGATTGTGTAAATTATTTTAAAGTAAATCTGTTTTCTAATTCTATTCTGCAGTAAATTTGTAAAACAAACACATTAGGAGTGAAATATTGGTAGTATAGGGAAAATAGTAAAAAATACTTTGAAAACAAGAAATTGCATGGCTTTGATTCTTGTGGCCTGATATGAATTCCTATTCTGTGACAGGGATAATTGTTGTGGATACAATTCCCCTTTAAATGATCTATGAAAATTAGATTTGAACAAACCTGGCATTTAAAATAGGTCCTACTCAGTGCAAATTATGAAGACACTTGTTAACACTACAGTGGCTGATCACACAAAATGAGAATATAACCGTGTTCCTCTTCTCTATCCCTGGTAACCATTTTAGATTTTACTATAATCTTGAAGTATAAATATGAGAAACTGAAAAATCAGTTACTGGCATTTCCAATCAAATGCTTGAATTCTTTACAAGGGATGACCCTGAGAAGCAGGTGATTTGTCTCAGGAGCTCAAGCTTCTTTTGGAATCCTTCACTGTGTGCTGGCAGAATAATGGCCCCTCCAAAAATGTCCACATCCTAACCCCTATAACCTGTCGAATATGTTAGGTTACATGGTAAAGGGGGAAATAAGGTTGCTAATCACCTGATTTTGAGATGGGGAGATTATCCTGGATTCTCAAGGTGGACCCACTGTAATCACAAGGGTTCATATAAGTGGAAGAGAGAGGTATGAGAAAGGATCAGAGAGATGGCAGCATAAGAAGGACTCAGCCAGCTGTTGCTGGCTTTGAAGAGGGAGGAAAAGGGCCGCGAGCCAAGGAATGTGGGTGGCCTCTAGAAGCTGGAAAAGGCAAGGAAATGGACTCTTCCCTGGAGCCAACCCCTTGATTTTAGCCCATAGAACTTCTAGATAATAAATGTGTTTTAAGCCACTAAGTTTCTGTGAATTTGTCATACCAGCAATAGGTGACTACGTGTACCTTTCCTGCTATCTCCTGCCCTCTCTCTTCAGACCCCAGGTACTCTCCCCCTGCTCTCAAGGATTGTGTATGACATTCACATCTTAGTATACATTGACTTAGCACTCATACTTGCATTTTGAGACCTTTATCTAATGGATTCTACCTATAAGAATGTATACGTTGTTAAAGAAATTTAGGAATAAACAAGTAGGTGGAGAACAATGTTTTGGGAAGGAGAGTGATCACAATTTCCCCTAAATCACTCGAAGCTAAAAATCTATTCATCCAGCACATGGTCACCCTTGGCTAAAACGAATGTTATGATTTTTCAGGTTTAGCAATCTGGTCTTTTTTTCTTCTCTTTCCTTCTAATGACTCCTTTTTTTTTTTTTCTTTTTCTGAGCTAACATGAGCTGTATTGATTACTTACGATTAAATATTCTGTGACAGCCCTACCTCAGCACACACACAAAAGGACTTGGTTAATTTTTAAATTTAACTTTTTCATTAGTGTCTTAGTGTTCCTCATTAAGAAATTCATTCTTACAAGGAGGTGGAGACAGGCATCATCTATCGTCCCGGAAGGAAGAATTTCAAAACTCTGCCAATGTGGAAAGGAGGACGTGAATTTACCAGGTGTTTATCCTCTTATCTCCGCTAGTACGCATTACAGCTGCCAGTAGTTCGGATTGGCCGTAATCTAGCACTGAACAGTTCAGTATTTTCCCCTGAACTCCACTGGGACTCTAGTATTTCACAAAGCTGCCCTTCTTCACCTGCACTACGTGGATTATGCTTTTATTTTCTTTACTCAGCAACTTTTCAAGTAGTGTCCTTGACAGCGGTTCTCGGCGTGACCCACTCCTGAGAACCGAAGGTCGGGCGTTGGGTCACCGTTATAACCGGCTTCCTGGTGTAAAACAGGTGACTGTTCTACCGGCCGGGGCCGCCCCTCTTACTGGAAAGCCCCGGGTTCCCAGCTGGACGAAAACGAAACTCTTCCCTCTTCCAGGCGGGGGCTTTTGCTTGTTACCAAAAAGCCTTTCTGTCCTCTGTCACATCACCAAGTGGGGACCCCGCTGTGTCTCCGTGACACTGACGCACAGACACGGTCGTCGGAAGTTGGCAGCGGGCGCGGCCTCCGGGCCTTGCGGCCGGCGGCGTTGAAGTGGGGTCCGCAGGATGCGCTCGCGGGCCTCGGCTGGCAGCTGGCGACTCCCCTAGGTGAAGCGACTTCCACGCAGGACACCGCCGCAACCTCGGCTCATTTCCCAATCGATTGGCTTCCGGGAGTGGAGGCCGCAGGACAGCTTCCGGTTTCCCCGCCCGCCCCTTAGGCCCCGCCCCCGACGCGGTCTTCCTCCCCAACCAGCCTACTTCCTCCTCCCGGCCTCGCCCCTGGCCCCTCCTCCCCCGTTCTCAGACCCAACTCCTTCTAGTCACCAACCCTCAGGCCCCGCCCCCAGCCACGCTCCTCCTCTTCGTCCTCGGGCCCCGACCTCCTCCTCCCCCACCTCAGACCCCGCCCCCAGTTCACCCTCAGCTCCGCCCCTCAACCCCCCTCTCCCGCCCCGTTCCATTCAATTGTTGGATTGTCGGCGCCGCACTCCCTCCGGCGGCCGGCAGGGGGCGGGGTTCGAGCGTGGATTCACGTGGCGTCACCCGGGCAGGGGCAGGTGCAGCGCGGAGCTGGGCCGGCGGGCGGGCGGACTCGAGGCCGCGGGCGGGCGGCTGCGACGTCGCGTTGGGTCGCGCTCGGCGGGTAGGCCGCGGTGGCCGCATCAGTGCTGACGTGGGGCGACGTGGGCCGGCGCCGGTCCCGGTGGGGCTTGTCGTCCCACCTCCTCGCGTCCGTAAGCAGTGACGAGGCCCGCTACGTAAATCGCTTCGCGGCGGGTAAGTGGCGCGCCGGCCGGCGGGGCCGGCGGGGCCGGCGGAGCCTAAGGCGGGGGCGACGGAGCGGGGGCAGGGCGGAGCGGTTAGCCCCAGCCGCCCCCGCTGTTTGCCCCGCGCACCCGGCGGGCGCTTTCCGAGGGGCCACCTCTCCGGCTCCGAGGGAGCGGAGGCCGCCGGACAGGCGGGCGACGTGGCTCCGTCCTCTCTCGTCGCTCGCCAGAGCCGCTGCCTCCCGGTCCTTGCGGCCCGAGACCGAGCGAGAGGGACGCTGCCACGGCGCTGCTGGAAGGCGCGCCGCCCTTGTTCCCCGCGTCCCCTTTTCGCCGGGACCAGCCAGCCCGGCAAGGCCCCCGGAGCCGGAGCGCGAACTGAGAGGGACGCGCGTCCTTGGACGTCTTCCCCGCGGTCCCCGCCGGGACCCGGACCCGGTCCCGAGTGTGAGCCGCTCACCCTCCCTGCGCGGCTCGGGAAGGGGCGGCCGGCCGGCCGGGGTCAGAGCGATGCTGACCCGCGGGACCAGCGTCGGTCCGCACTGGAGGCCTTGTAACCGGGCGGCTCACCGGAGCGGCTTCCGAACAACTTTTCCTTTCCTGCCTAATTCGCCGGGCTGCTGGGAGTGCAGCCACCCTCCCTGGAAACAAACACAAACCGAGATGCGCAGGGCTAGAGGTCCAGTGTGAAGATTAGATTACATGAATAATTCGTGTTCTCTAGTTTTTTCCCCGTGGGTACCATGTTTTTCTCCTAGTCTTGATCCTGCTTTTGGATAACAAGCTGCTTTCCCTTCAAAGTCGTAGTCTTTGAAACTTTGAACTTAAAGGAACTTTTTTCCCCCAAAGAAAGGCAAATTGCAAACAATGTGTTTTGGCCAACTTATGCTAAGTATTAAGATACTGATGTTTAAAAAGCTGCTTATTGATCCAAACGCAGCTTTTCAATGGATTTGATCCTGGATGAGTAAACACTGAAAGCATTGTCATGTTAAGTGTTGGTAATGACACAAACATTTTTGGTGCATCTGTAAATAGTTCAGTGTAAGCAAATGCCCAGTGAGTGACTGTTCAACCTGGAGTCACTTTGGTGAGTGTGAAGTTGTAATTACACGGATGTTTTGTGTACACATTTTATGAGTGTATGAATAAATTTTTATTGAATGTGTAAACACAAAGGAGCTCTTTAGTCTTTTTGTTTTCACATTGTCCCAGCAGTTTACTGAAATTGGGTGAGTTTAACAAACTCCAGACTCCATAGACTACTCTAGTTTCCTATTGGGGCAAATCACTACATGATTAAAATATGAAATCATGTTTAAAATTATGCATATTTCATGAAAAGTAAGGAAGAGTTTCAGGTTGTTAACATACGTAAGGAATACTGACTGAATCTTTACCAGTATAGACGTATATTCCTGATCCTGTTTTCCCCAACCTGGTATTCTCTACGGGTTAATATTCGGCCAGAAAAGTAAGTCAGGCTTATTGTTGAAGTGGGTAGTCTATTGGAAAGTGCTTAAATGTCTTGTCCCATTTAGGTAGACTTTTAAACATAAAACTGAACAATGCAAACACTTAACAGTTGAACCATTGATGTTTTGACATGCAATCAGTATTGGTCATTAAGGAAATAAACCTGAAATGTCTTTGAATTCTGTTAAGTATTTCTACTTTATTGAACTGATGTCAACATATATAAAAGTCAACTTTGATAATAGCAGTGTGTGCATTGAATACAATTTCAATATTATCAGTACAAGTATATATATATTGTAAAAGTATAGATTTCAAGGAAAGTGTTTCTCATCCATTATACATATGTAGAAGTAAACATTTAAAATCATTTTGTTAATTTCATTTTAAAGAGCACAGGGTGTTTAAAATACTTTTTACCATGGGAATCACACAATAAAGAGTGCCCTGTTCTTAAAAGTAAATCTCTCATTCATGGATTTTCTTTTAATGATGCTGTAGGATATCCAGTAGCCAATAAGGGAGAATGAAGAGGAAAACCTAAGGATGACATTAGCTGGGATTTATCTTAATATTACTCATGAAAACAAGCCAAGTCTTATTGGTATAATACAGTTATAGCAATTTTTAAAAATATCTAGTTTGCAAATCTTGACTGACCTTCCCAGGAGTGTTATGGGAAATTACTGGCAAGGTATATGTGAAACCATTTTGAGTGAAGGCATGAGCTAGTAGGTTATTTAGCACTGTTTAAATAACTCACTGGTGAAGAAGGATGCTTGCCTCCAAGAAAACCTTACTAGCAACTTTTTGTGAGGCTCTTTTGAAGTCTCGCAGTTCTCCCCAAATGGGAAGCATCTTCATGCATACTTTCTGAACAGAAAAGTACAACCAGACTAATCAAATGTCAAAATGAAACCCTGTGAAATTTTAACAGTGGGGTTCATGTGATTCTGACATTGTTTACTTTTGAGAATTCCAGAAAACAAACTCAGTTTCTTCAAGGTTATCTTAGTGAAGTTTTTGTTTTTGTTTTTTTAACTCAGCAGATTTAAAATTAGACCATCCTAACTCAGAATGTCAAGTGTCATAGAGTTTTGTTCATATTCTCAAACAGCCTCTTTTTTTTCATTGGTAGCACAAAAATTATTTTTTTGCCTAGAAATGCTTAGGAATTTATATCCTAGCATTGATTATGATGAGAGCTTCCAGCTCTGGAATTGGGGCAACTATATATCACGCATAAAGACACTTGGGATGCTTTTGCACCTCTTAAAATTGATGGAAGAGTTATACTGAACTTATTTAGGCATGTTTCTACACTTAGGTACTAGTTTTGTTCATATACACAAGATAGGACCAACCTAGGTAAGTATAATAACGTTGAAATTCGTTTCTGTGAACCTTAGCTAATTCCAGTGTCTTATATACTCTTTCCCAGATTTGCTAGTTAGTAGTCGATGCAGTTGTACTTTATGTGTAAATAAATGTTTTGAAATGTACTTAAAGTGCGGTAATGAAGTGTTCTGTTGAAAGAAAAGCCCTACAATGATTAGCCAAGCAAATAACTTCCCCAATAGATTGAAAGTTATGTTTCCCTTCATGAAATGGGGCGGGGGCTCGGCCTGGCGGGGTGTGCTTGGAAAGGTGGAGACAGGCCATGACTATTTGAATTTCATTTTTCATTTCCTCCTTAGCGGTGGATTCTGCTGTTCATTGACTGAAATAGACGAAAGCAGGCACCAGGTGGGGAATGAACTGAAAAAGGGATGCTTGAATAGTTAATCCTTTGGTGATTTTAGTAAAGAGTTTAGATTTCTTAAATAATAATGGGTATCTGAAGCAATTAAACTGGAGTGGCCTTGAATCTGTATTAGAATGCTGCCTGATTTTCTGTATGATTCATATTCAAAATAGTAAAGACAATATTTACAAGTGTTTCAAATAATTATTTAGAAGAACTGTTCCTGGCCACTTCTGTTTTTACACAAAAGTGTAAAACTTGTTATTTGAAAGGTATTCTAACTTTACTTCACAAAGATTACAAAACTTTGAAAGTGGCATAATTTCCTTATACTACTGTATTGCTTTGTTTTTCCTGTACTAATCTCCTTCCCCTAAAATGCATAATAACCATAGGCGCATCCCTGTCAACTTCACATACGTGGCTTTTTGTAATTACAGTTGACTCTTGAGCAACGTGGGAGTTAGGGGTGCCGACTGCTGCTCAGTTGAATATCCCTGTATAACTTTTGACTCCCCCAAAACTTAACTACTAATAGCCTGCTGTTGACCAGAAAACCTTACCAATAATGTAAACAGTCAGTTAAAACATGTTTTGTATGTTATATGTATTATATACTGTATTCTCACAGTAAAGTAAGCGAGAGAAAAGAAAATGGTATTAAGAAAATCATAAGGAAGAGAAATACATTTACAGTACTGTACTGTATTTATCAATACCATAAGTTTATGAGATGAATCATTTGTCTGTACCTACATTAGTATTGTCATATGATACAAAACACTGCAGATGTAATATGTATTACTGACACTTGACATCAAAAATGAAAAGATAATGTGAAAGAGAAATCTGTATTTATTTATAGGTATAACGATTCATACATTAATAGCGCAGAAGCAGCAATATGATTGCCTAGTGTAATTGATATGATTGCTTCACGGTAGCCTAGCCCAAACACTAATGAATGAATCATTGTAGAAATTTATGGCATACAGTATTACAGTCATATTCATAATACAGTATTGGAAACATTGTTACTTTTTTTTAAAAAACCACTTACCTGTGATGATAGCTGATTTGCAGTTCCTCCAACTACAGTAATGTAGTTCTTTGAAAGCAAAGTTATAAAACAGTAAGAAAACTAACACATTATTTTTATTAAATATCACCTTGTGCCTGTGTAAGGATAGACTAGTATCTACATATATTTCGCACTTTCATGACATAGCTTTTTCTTTTTTCAATAATTATAGGCTATGAGTTTCATCTGTGAGTTTTTCAACTTATTGCAAATCTCCAAAAAATTTTCCAATATATTTTAATTAATTAATTTATTTGTTTTTATTTATTTTTGCTGCGTCGGGTCTTAGTTGCGACACGCAGGACCTTTGCTGAGCTGTGCTGGATCTATCGTTGTGGCGCGTGGGCTTCTCTCTAGTTGCGGCACGTGGGTTTTCTCTCTCTAGTTGTGGTGTGTGGGCTTAGTTGCCCCCAATGACACGTGGGATCTTAGTTCCCTGACCAGGGATCGAACTCGTGTCCCCTGCATTGGAAGGCGGATGCTTTACCACTGGACTACCAGGGAAGTCCCTCCAATATATTTATTGAAAAGAATTTGCATATAAGTGGACCCATACTGTTTCAAACCTGTGTTGTTCAAGGGTCAACTGTACTTCTCTCTCCTAGCTAGCCTGCCTTTTCCCAGTTTCTTAATTGACTTGGTTGAGGAGGACCAGCTTTACAATGTAAGCTTCATATTCTTCTCCTACTTTCTTTCAAACCTTACTTGCTTTGCTGCTTAAATCATAGTTAACCTCTGAGGATCTTCTGCTTTCCCAAAGAGCTAAAACCTTTCTTCATCCAGAACTCAAGAAACAGATTATACTTTTCTGTGTTCTTTCTCTTCCTGCTTCCGTTAGAGGTGTACTTCCCTTTATTCCACGTTCTTTTCTTTTTGTTTTGACCGTGCTAATTGCAGTGCGGTCTTTATTTTGCCTTTCTTGCAAAAACCATAGCTAATAAGGGGTAGAACTCAAGTTAACACCCAGATCAACCTCCAGTGCCACACTGTTTATATCGCACACTGCTATGCTACGACCACTAGACCGCGTTGCCACCTCAGGAATTGGGGACAAGGGAAGTGGGGAATGAAGAGAGAGGACTCCTGGATAGGGTGGCTGAGCCAATGGTGATGTCACTCCCCGATCGAGATAAAAGTACAGCAAGAGGTGAGATGCAGAGCAAGGGAGTTGAGGTTAGTTTAAAACATATTAGACTTGAGGATCTCTGAAGAAACCGTTAAGAGATGTCGAATAGGCAGATACATACAGGCTAGAGCTCAGGAGAGAGAGGTCCAGGCTGGAGGTGAGATTTGAGACACATCAAGAGGGGATGAGGCAGCCTAGGGGGAGAGTGTGGAGGTGTTTGTGACTGGAAGCCTGGGAATACCAGTACTTAAAGAGTGGGCCAAAGGAGACTAAGGCGAAGGACTGGATAACTTGGAAGGGAAACCTGAACGTGGTGTCCTGAAGAGTTCAAGGAGGGCGAAATTTGGGGAGTAGGAAATGCTGTAGGCATGTTGAGGATAGGGACTAAAGATCATTCTTGAAGATTTGGCAAGCAGGCGATCAATCAGTGATGACTTCTTAGAGAGTAGTTGGAATGAAATAATTCTCTGATGAGCCTGAGTCAGGATCAGGTTTATCTGATGGTCATTATTCTGTTGTGAGGCTAGTCATTTGCTCTCTTGATGTCTTGTGATGGGGTGGCAGGAAGCTGAGACTGTCTTCGATGCTGGCAGCCTCTGGGAAGAGGAAATGGGTGGCTGTTCCCAGACTTCACCAAATACCTTTTTCTACTTTTTGAGTTCTGAATCATAATGTATTACTTACTCAGAAATTAAACCAAAGAATATGGTATTTCCAGGAGAAGTTGGGAGTTACTTCTCTCTTCTTATATGGTGCCGTGCTCATCATTATTATTCAGATAATATTATCATTATTCCTTGTTTAAACATCTGTCTCCCTCATTAGAACCGAAGCTGCTGGAGATCAGGGACATCTTGTTACCTGTGTCTTGGTGCCAAGCACAAGGGCTGGGGTATCTTGGGTGCCAGTCACTGTTTAATAAATCAGTAGCCCCTGCCCTCATGGTTACACAGTTGTTATGGAAGATAAGATGTCCCCACATAAAATGCCAGTGTAATATAACACAGAATAAGGTTTAATCTGAAGGAATGTCACCATCCTTCTTTCTTGTTCATGTTGTAGGTTGCCTGGTTCAAGTGCCTTACCTTTCCACATTATTGCTATGGTTGTGTGGGGGCAGGTGGTAACAGTAACCATTGTCCTGGTGCCCATAGTAAGTTGCAGCACACTTGCCTGCTGACTCAGTTTCCAAATTGGGTGGGATGGTGTGACATCATTTTAGAGGGACCACTTAGGAGGGAACCCCGGAAATAGCATGTTTGTTGCCAAGCATCTCTGTTGCTGGCGTAGACGCCTGGAAGGAACTTAGGGATGCGGGTGTTGGTCCTTTCAAATCTAAAACAAATTGAGGGCTCACTGCTCTCCTTTTGTCTTTTTCTTTGCCACGTTTACTTCATTCAGCATGTCAAATGTGTATTTTAAAGAGATATTAGTAAAAAAAAAAGGGGGGGTTTAATTGCTAGAGTGTCTAAAACAGCTTTTTTAATGAATTAAAGGCTATCAGAGGAGATTTTAAAGGAACGGTTACTATTTTGTTTGCAGTTAAAATTCTTTGACAAAACCCAGTTTTGAAGTTAAGGTAAATGAAAAACAGTTGACAAATTTGTTTCAGTGGAATGAAATTTGAGAAGATGATAGATTCATTCAGTTTATTAAGTGATTATTATTTTAAAATAGAGCTGATACTTAGCGATTTGTAGTGTGTGTAAAATGATTTAGGCAGCACTGCACTCTCTTCAGTGGAAAATGATAAGTAGCACATGATTTAATTTTTTTGAATTTTTTCCTAAGAAAATTGTATAGAAGTAAGTTTGAAAAAAATACGGAGTTGTTTTCACCTCTCTATGCTGTTTTTTTGTTTTATGGAAATTAGGGTATTCTGGTGTAGTTTTGAGAGATTTTAATTTTTTTTTAAATAAAATCTTATGATCTGCCAACTCGACATTATAATTTTACTGCAGGATAAATAAAGAAGAAAACGAAGGAGCAAAGCATTGACTACAAATGTCTTAATAATGAGCAAGTGTGGCAGGAAAAAATATATTAAAACAAATCTAAGGTAGGTGGATATATTATTTTTCTATTCTTTTGAAAGTTCTACTTAGAGAGCTTAAAGTTAAAATGATGGATAAATTAATGGTATGTATCTATGTACCATACATATGTATGTGTATGTGTGTACGTATATATACACATTATAATAAAAAATATAATAATATGTACCCAAATTGCTCAGCTGCTCAATTAGGGAGTTTCTCTTCCACCATGTGCTGTGTGAGGCAATGCAGAGGATAGGTGGACATTCACAGGCAGCTCATTCTAAGCGCTGGCCTTTCCAGTCAGAAAGGAGATTGCACTTAAGCATGTGGACAGAGTTTTCGTTTTTCCGCTTACACTTGTACCTGAAGTTGTAAAACAGAGGGAAGTCTCTACCAAGCGTTTTACAGAAATCCAAATATTACTTTTCAGGTTTTCTTTTAGTTACTTTCAGAGACATTCTGGTTCATCCATTGGGTCTAGCGTCAAAAAGAAAATGAATTTTCTTTGACAGTTTTGGTAAAACTATTTAAAAATAGATAATAGAAACAACTTTAATAATTTTTCCTTTTGCTGCTGGATCCTATTTTTAAAAGAGGTGAAAATTTTTACAAGGGTAAATATAGTTGCTCTGCAGTGTAATTTGTCTTTGCAAATTGGATACAACTAAGTAAGATTTTAGAAGTTATTAGTTCACTGTACACTTTAATTATAATTAGGAAACTGCCTTTGTCTTATTTTTCATTTAGATATTTTTGGTCTGTATTCCTTTTCTCTTCTTTGTTCCTATCTTTTACGAACACTTTCCTGGGTACTTACGATAGCATTTCTTTAAAATGTTTTTCCTTTTTCTTCTGGTTTTTCCTTCTATTTAAATATCTTGTGTGTTCTTGAAACATAGGTATGCCGAAATAACTTTGGTCATTAATTACCTCAATATTTCTATAATTGTAAATATCATTTTTACAGATATATTCCTTTGTATTCATTTCTTGAATGTATATTATACAAATCATATACAGACAGTACTGTACTGTTTGTTGTAGTTCAGTATTTTGGGGAGTTTTTGCAGTATGACATAGATGTTCTACTAAAGGCCTAGAAAATAACAGAGTAAGCAAACAAATACAATTCTACCCCCAACCCCTAAAAGTAGTTCACCCTGGAAGTCTTTGAAAATTGTGCTACTGGATGGATCCTATTCTTTTAAAACATTAGTTATATCAACACTTACTGAACTGAATCCCAATATATTCAGAAAATATTGGGATAACATTTACTTTTCTGTTGAAGAAGAAAATGGTTTGCCAATAATATAAAAAAGATTTCAGAAGAAATATTTAGCTTTCATAAGAAAAGAATGTTACTACTTCCATTAATCATTTATAAATTTAAATATGCCCATTTTAGCAAATCCTTATCTGTTCTTTAGAATTGTGGAACTGATTGTTTGCCAGTATTTTGCTTACTGTTAGCTTATGGTGCTTAATGGACTTTTTAATTTGTTTTAGTGTTTTTTATTGTTTTATCTCATACGTTTTTATTTTTAAATATTCTGTAACTTATATTTCCTAATTGGTCTTTTTCTGTCTAATTTGGATTTGTTTAAGATTAAAATATTACATAATTAATTAATTTATAGATTACTCTATTAATACTAGTATAACTATGATTAAAATTTATTATAAAAAGTGAGATTTGGGGGAAAATATTGTATGTACACCTCTTTAATTTTCACTATAAAGTATGTAAGTGAACATACTTTAAAGTATGAAATCTTTCAAATCTTTCATACTCAAATCTTCACTCCTACTTAAAGTATGAATATTTCATACTTTAAAGTATGAAAGATTAAAATGGATCTTTCTCTTACACTTTTTAAATAAATTCCATCAGGACTACTGAGGCTGACTTACAGATGTTAGTGTTGATGTACATCATTTCCAGCTGAGGTCTGGGTCCTGTATTTCCTGCTGAGTTAGTGTTTGAAAATACCCAGTACAGTGCCTGACCCATGTTGAGCACTTAAATGTTAATTGAATCTTCAGCCCTGAGTCCTGGCCTGGGTTGGTTTTTAGTGGGTTTAGGCGGTGGTACTGGAGAACAGTTGGATATAGATCAGCAGAATGAACTTAGTTGAAAATGACAGAGTGTGTAAATTGGTAGTGCTGACCTTACTCTTCTGTAGATGATTTTTACCTTCAAATAAATTTAGTATCAAACTTTTACTGAATGACATGTACTGGGCACTGTACGAGGCACTCCAGGAGAATAAAATGGGATAAGATTAGAGTCTCTACATCCTAGTGGGAAAGACAAAGCATATCTAAATGAAGATTGTGACAACAGTTGCAGCATACTCAAAAGCACAGCATTGGTTAAGATGTATCTAAACGGGACTACTGCTCAGGGCACTGGCTGTGGAAGGACCCCTGAGGTCACAGTCACAAGACCTCTTGTTCACCCTCTATCATGCAGTCTGTTGTGCCCTCTGTAGAAAGTCACTTAATCTCTCTGAACCTTATTTTTATCATTTTAGTAACACCTAACAGTTGCATAGTCTTCCAGAATAGTTGATTAATTGGCTTATTTAATGATTATGGTAGATTCTGTACTAGGCCCTGGGAATATATTGAGATCTAAGATGTGGTCTCTGTTGCACACACTGTGCTAGTACTTTGTGGACAGATGTGATATATGCTAGACAAGTGCTGAAATGGAGGGGATTGCACAAGATGCTTTGGGAACTCAGAACAGCGTAATTGTGCCCAAGGCTATTAGAATAGGCTTTGAAAGATGGTGTCCTTGAGCCAGGCTTTGAAGAACGAGTAGAAATGCGCCTGTTGGACAGAGAAGGAGTGAAGGGCATCCCAGGAACAGGGAAGAGCAGATATAAAAGATTAGAATTGGGGGAATAAGATGTGTATTTGACCAAAAAATGGCTCATAAGGAGGCTGGAATGCAGAGTGTGGGAAGGAATGGGGTGGCTGGAGATGAGGCTGTAAATGTAAAGATAAAATGAGGTCACATTGTGAAAGAAATTGAATGGCAGTTTGGTTTGGTAATTGAGAATATGAACTTTGGAAAAAGACCTTAGTTCGAAACCTGGCTTGGCCACTCAATACCTTTGTGGTAAAATCAGATTCTTAACCTCTTTATGTCTCCTTTTCCTCACCTCTAAAAGAAGAACTAGCTATATTGCCCTTATAAAGTTGTTAAGAATGAAAACTAGTAGGCATTTACCACATGGTAAGCACTTGACAAACGGTAGTTGTAGTTAGGATTATTGTGAGAAGTTTGGGGTTTATCCTGTAGTCAATAGGAAGCTCCTGAAGAGTTTTAAGCAGAAATATGTTTCAGAAAGATAACTGTTGGCAGGACAGTGGTGGCAGAGAAGAGGACTGAATTGTTCTTTGGAAGGTAGAATCATCCCACCTGGTGATGACACTGTAGGGAATGAAAGGGAGAGGGTTTCAGGATGACACTTAGGTTTCCACTGGAGCAGATGGATTGAAGGTGGGGCCCCATTTCCTGAGGTGCGAAACTCAGAGAAGGAACATGTTTGTGGAGGAAGAAAAGGAGTTAGTTTTGGACCCATTGAGTTTGAGGTACCTGCAGGACATCTATTTGGAGATGTTAAGTAGGCACTTGGATATGATTCTGGAATTCAAGAGAGACCTCTGGGCCAGAGATCTAGATTTGAGAGTCGTAAGCTTAAAGCTGGTGCTTGAATCTAGAGAAATGGATAATATTACACAGGGAGAGATTTGAGAGTGAGGCCAGAAGGCTAACCAGAGTCCTAAAGAATGCAGTGTTGAAGGTTAACACCGAGTAGGAGAAGGAATTGGCAAAGGAGCTTGTGGAGAAATTGTCAGAGAATTGGATGAGAGCAGAAAATCAGTATCGTGACCTCAAGATAGAGTCCCAAGAAGGGAGATGTCAGCGGTTTTGAGTGCTGCTGAGGGATCAAACAAGATAGGACTTAAAATGAACATTGGATTCAGTGACTGAGATAGATTACCCTTACTAGAGAAGTCTTTGTGAGGCAGAAGCCAGTTAGGGGTTGTCTGGGAGTAGGTGGGAGGTGAAGAAATGGAGATAGTGTTGGCAGTTCTTTAAAGTAGCTTAGCAGTGAGAGGAAGAAAAGAGGTTTGAGAGAACAGCTAGAGAATGACTTCTGGTTCAGTGGTTGTGTGTGTGTGTGTGTGTGTGGTTGGGGAGACTTGAACAAGCTTAAATCTTGGCAGGAGGAAGCCATTGGGGAGGGCAGAGGGTAATTGTTAGTGTAATGCCCCCACAGCCTAATGAAGAGGGATCCCAAGGACAGACAGGAATTTAAGTCTGGGGAGTTGGAAGCAAGGGAAAATGCAGGTGTAGATGTAAGTGGATTTGTTGATTTGGTGGCAGGAAGTTGAGGGGGTTCTCATCTGAAACAGGAGGCAAGGTCTCATGTGGAATGTGATAGTAGGTGAGCTCAGGGATTTGAGAAGAGGGAGACTTGAAACAGTAGCAGAGAATGGGAGAGTAAGCTTCCAAGGAAGCAGTAAGATTGCTGCTTATTTGAGGTTGAAAACTGGATTCAGTAGCCTTAATAATATTCTCTTTTTAAATTTTGTTCAGTATTGTTCATTGGTGCAGGCATAGAGGAGACAGAATAGGTTTTACCTGAGATTGGTATTTACTAAACAGATAAAACAGAAGGAAAAGGGACAAGGGAATTTAGGGTATTGGGAAACAGCAGTTAAAATGAGAAACTGTGGATTCTAAGCTGAGTAGGACGGGATGTGAAGAAAGGAGGAGGCTGATTGGAAGGGAGAAAGTAGTGGTCTAGAGATCAGTGTGGTGGAAATACAGGCGTGATGGGAGTAATTGAGGGTGGGTGTGAGCTGGGAGGATAGGATATTGGTAGAGTGGGATGTCAGAATTAATTATTTCAGAGGTGGAGCAGTTTTGGACACTGACAAGGTCCAGTGTATGGCCAGCCCCTCAGGTAGAAGGCTGTAGGGGAGGGAAGAAAGTCAT